TGACGGTGGCTCAAAGCATACTATGTGTAATCACGCAACTAAGAAGCAATGTACAAAATGGAGAATAGAAAACGAGAAGTGGAATATTATTATGCCTCGAATGGAGTGGTGTGGATGAGATTGCGACCCGTTCGTTTGGAGAGCCGTTTCCGGAAGTCCTTAGCTTGCTTGGACGCTTGGCGATTTGGGTCTAGATAGCGGAGTCCGGCGAACATCACCGCCAAGCTGAAGGCGGTGCTGGCCACACGCATTAGATTCGCCGTCAGGTTCGCCTGCGCATCCGAACCCCCGCATTTCGCCATTTGTTTGTGAGAACAAGCTAGGAGTGGTATTAGATTCAGCTAAGTTTAGTGTCCTATGGAATTTTGAATGCTCGTATTTATATACTCCTTCCCTTCATTTTAATTTATCAGGAAAATTGTATCAGTGATAAGGAATCAAAAAAGTGAAAGACCGTAATAAAAATAAAAAACTGCCCCTGATTTACATGTATCCAAAAAAATTATACCCCTCAATTTTCTTTTAAAGTACTACGTATATAAAATTAAAATTGTAAATTTTGAACATATATACTTCTAAAAGGTAACAACAAACTTTTGACCTACACAGATAAGCCAATGAATTATACGGAGTAAAACTGAACTAATATACGAGTAATAATAATAATAATAATATGCGGAGTATACGTTTTCTCATTGAGCGAATGTAGAAGAAAAGAATAATACATTGCGGGTCTAATCAGTAATAAACTGCGGCCAATTACAGGAAACAATTTATTAAATATTACTTTATTTAGTTTATTTCGAAATACTGATTTCTGATATATTTTTAGATTTCATATATCTATTAATCTATTTGACTTAAATTTATGTTTATATGTTACGGAGTATAATATTATGAAACATTCTTTGTTTCGTAATATTATGAATCATTCTGCAATCAAATATTTTTAAATTTTAATTACTTGTCTTTATAATTTGCAGTATCATTTCGTTTTATCACAAAAAACTATTAATCCATTTTGAAATTCAATAGTGGCGGACTGGCGGTTCAGCATTACATATGTCAATTCCATAGTTCTATGTGTTTCACTTTGTCCGTTTTTAGTACTTTACTAATGTTTTCTAACCATTTGTGGTCTTGTCCAATTTTTCGTCACATTACCCGCAATTTTAATCACTAAAAATATCGAAGAGGAGACCTTATATAGGCAAAGAACAATTATCATGTATCAAAATTGGTGAGATATAGACTAATTCAACATTACATAAGTTAATAACTTTTCATAATGTATGGAGCACATAAGCACATTATCCAATTTGAAACAAGAAACAAGATAAAGTGCGTCATAGTTTCATAGCCGCCAAGGCCAGGGGCGGACCCAGGAAATTCATGTTTGGGGGGCTCAAAATATTTTTGATGGGTTAAAATTATTTTTTGAGGGATGAAAATTATATTTCTTATATATATACACTAAAAATAAATTTTGTTGGAGAGGCGGTAACCCTCTGGGTCTGTACTACGGTCCGCCCCTGGCCATGACGCGTTCATTGGCAAGTAAGGTCATTGTGATGGGCTGTGGTGATTGGTCGAGTGGTTGGTAGTCACTACATCAATTCGTTAGTTACATTTTTAAAATTAATTTTCTACCATTTGTCTATATTTTAGTAACAAGACTAAAATGTTTGGTAATTTAATAAGACTAAAATTTAAACAAAACCTCTAAATTTAATCGACAAAATGGGCAAATAAATCCACGTATTAAAAAAAGTCAAATAAACCCTTATATAGGAGAACATGTCCGGTCGTCGCCATTTGGGGCGATTCCCAATGGAATTTTTTGATTAAAATTTTTTAGCATCATATTCATTAAATCTAGTTTACTCATACCAAATTTTAGCTAAAACTTCAATCAGGAAGGCATTGAAATGAATTCTTGAAGATAATTGCGCAGTTAAAAGCACAGTTATCTTCAAGAATTCATTTGAATGCCTTCCCAGTTGAATTGTTAGCTGAAATTTAGTATGCGTAAACTAGACTTAATGAATAAGATGCTCAAAAAGGTTCTTCAAAAAATTCTACTGGGAACCGCCCCAAATAGCGACGGCCGGACAAATAAGGGCTTATTTGACATGTTTTAGTCAGAATGTGGGCTTATTTGCCCCTTTCCTCAATTTAATCTAATACTGCACCAGGCCACCACTCTAAGGACATCTCCAACAGTTTACACTTTTTTTGCACTAAAATGGTGTAAACATCACATCATACAGTATTTTATCTCCAACAGTTTACACCATTTTCATCACTAAAAAGGAATATTCCATTTTTATTCTTTTTACTAACTTTTTACCATTATTATATTTAATTATCTAACTATCATATATTTATATATTAGCCCCTCATTTAATATTAATGGTGTTATTAATTTTAATTTTAATTATGTTATTTTCTTAGTATGATTTATATTATGTTATTATGTTGTTTCAATTTGAAACTTTATTTATAATATTGTTTGAATTTATTTATTATATATATTTTTTATTTTTTACCAAATTAATAATTTAAATTTGTTGTTCTATAATTTGTTGTTCTAAAAATGTGTCAAAACTATAACAATCAAAACTTTGGGTCACATTTGAAATATAAAAAAAAAATAAAAAAGATGGCGCAAGGGATGCATGGTGTATGCCATATATGGCGTAAAGCCAAACCCCCTCCCCCGAATTGGTGAAATGGCGAAATGGATGGTGTAGCTGTTGGAGCAAAAAATTGACAAATCCACCATTTTGGTGTAGGAATTGGTGATTGTTGGAGAAGCTCTAATACTCGATGTGATTACTACATATTTGGTAATTTAAAACCTCTAGTGTACACAAATTGGTTTTAAAAAGGAATATTTAGAAGGTAGTATAATAAGTGCTTGGCACAGGCATTCAATTTTTTGTGTGATCTCCAGTTAATACTCGTATGTACTAGTGGTCTATGAAGCACGAATACTTCATTAGGGTGCCGTATCGACGTATCGGAAACTTTCCCGTATTTGATACTCTAGGATACCCACAAGGCGGAGCCAAAGGGGGGTCAGGGGGGTCAGTCGACCCTGCTGAAAGTTTGAGAGCATAAAGCTCTGAAATATCTTCGATTTGATATATTATGGCCCCCGTAACTCTTTACGAGTAAAAAGTTATGACTTCTGCAAAATCAGCACTATCTAAACGTAAAATCAGCAAAATTTGATGAGTAATATTGATTTTCCCCCCAAATTTTAAAAATAGCGTATAATTAACTCATTACTTACGTGACATGACTCAAAAATAGAGCAAAAACAGTCTCTTTTATTGTTACGAGTGCCTATTTATCTAAACTACATATAAAATATTCGACTCGGATATTGTTTGGAAACGATCCACCGTTTTCATTTTGTATAAAGTTGATTCTCGACCCCCTGGACCGTATTTCTGGCTCCGCCACTGGATACCCATACCATACGGCATACGCGATACGTTCCCGGGTCGTATATGCAATTTTTTAAAGTTTTCATTATATTTGGTAATTATTTTAAAATTTTGGATACTCGTATCCTGACGGATACCCGTATCAACGTTTTATATATAAAAAAAAAGCTTCCAATTTTTTTTTTTAAAAACACTTAAAATTTACATAATAAAATTCTTAAAAAATGAAAAGTTAAAATAATTTTTACCTTGTTTTTATGTGGTAAACAACTGATGTGTCTATTTCCAATTCACCCATCCTCCAATCCTTAATTCTAATTATACCTAGAAATTAATAGTCCAACGGAAATATGTATTACGGAGTATAACTTTAAATATTGTTTTCTATCTTTATTATTTCTAAAACTCTGAATACTTGCACTTTTAATTTCAAAATTGTAGTTATTTGACTTATTTTTCATTTGTAAATTAATGACTCATTGACTATATTTATATTTCGAGGTGCACTAGTGTATATGAGATAAAATATGAACTTATTTCTAAGTATCTTGAAAGTGTAAAATGCTTTAATGCCATGAATGAGTAGACGTAGGATAATAATTTAAAAAAAACCGTATTCTTAATATTTATAAATACACCGCTGTAACTTTTAATATTTATAAATACACCTCCATAACTTTTACTACCTCCGTCCCATTAGAAGATTTTCGTCCACTATTCACATAATCAACTTAAATCATTTTTAATCTTTTACTTTATAAATCAAATTTTTATCAAATTTACATTTTTTTATTAGGCTTTGTAGCGGTTTTAATGTAGTTTCCGAATATGTAAATTTCATTTACTAAAAATAATCAGAGTGTGAATAGGGATTAAGTTGCTTTATCGCCAGTCAAGCATCTCATACCGTCAACCTCTTCACACTCTGAAGGATTAAGTTGCTTTATCGCCAGTCTAGCGGGACGGAGGGAGTAATAATATTTATAAATATGGCCCTGTATCGATATCATACTTTTTTTGGTTTTGTCGTATCCTCGTACCAGTTTCTATGTTTCTGCGTTTCCGCCTACCCGTATCGGTGCTACATAGCTACTAGTTATATGTTTGATTTTCCTAGTTGCTAGTTCTCCCTATTACTCTAGAATGTACATCTTTTTAGTTTTAATGATTTTAATGATTTGTTTCTGTTGTTACACAATTCAGTTTGTGATATAAAAAAATTTATGTACTCCCTCTGTCCCTAAATTTACTTCCATTTCGCTTTTCGAGAGTCAACTTAAATCACTCTTAAACTCTTACTTTTTGTATCAAAACTTTATGAAAATTGATTATTTTTTTTTGCAGGCTTTGTAGCGGGTTTAATGTAGTTTCTGAATATGTAAATTTTATTTACTAAAAATAATCCGAGTTTTCACAGAGATCATTTAACTTTATCGTCGGTCAACCTTCGTAATCCGCAATTGGAACAACATTCAGGGACGGAGGGAGTATGTAATAAATTAAGTTGTGTGAGAAGACTCAAACTGAAATAGAGTTACAAAATAAGCTCCGCCTACCAAAAAAAATTAACCAAGATTATACCGCTTTAATATTGATTCAAAAGAATTTGTTTAGAGCTTTGAAGTATCAAATTCACAAAATCACAACTACTAAGGTCTCAGCTCATACGTATTCCAAACGATCTAATTCTTTGTAACTATATTACACTCTATCACTCAATCTGATTAATAATTACTCCCTCCGTCCCCAATTAAATGTTCCATTTTACCATATTGGGATGTCCCTATTTAAATGTCTCATACCTCATTTGGTAAAGTTTGTGTGGTTCAAAATCATTCTTACTTTATTCTTACTTTATTCCTACTTTATCAATTAATATCAACCACACAAACCCACTTTTCTTAAAACTCGTGCCACCATCTTCCGGGACTTTTAAAAGGGGACGGAGGGAGTAGTAATTAATCAGATTTCTTATTAATGAACTTTTGAAGGCATCAGCTTTCTCATTAAACTCTTTCGAGAAGCTCTGCTAACCAAATACCCCACACCTAAACAAACCATCCATATCCCCACATCCACCGCCCATCCCACTCCCTCCGCCGCCGCGTCGCACTCTCCGCCGTCCTCCCCCTCCATCTCCTCCCCTTCCCCACAGCAGCAGCAACAATCCCGACTTCCCTCAACCTCTGTTTCTGTTTCTCTTCGCTCAGGAATTTCTTCCAGCCCCAGATGACACCTCCGCCGGTGCCGCCTCCGGGGATGCGCCATTTCCACCTTCCCCGTGATCCACTCCGCCGCGCCTCCCTCCACCGATATGCAGACCTCCGCCGCTCTGATTCCCAGAAAACCTCTGTTTTCCTCTTCTTCGGACAACAAGCTCTCCCACTCCAATTTCCAGAAATCCCCTTCCCAGTCCTTCCTGAAAATCCCCTTCACCAGCCTGGAATCTCCCGCGTATAGCTCGAACCTCGCCCCTTCGCTGGCTCTGACTCTCTCCCGGCTCCCGTAAACCGCCCCTGTCACCACCGCGGCGGCAGAGACGACCCGGTGGAGCGCCACAAACCCGGGCGCGTCGGATCGGATCCTGGACCCGTTTATCTCCAGTGGGCTGTCGTCTATGCGCGGGAGGTAATTCAGCGTCAGGAATTCGGGCAAGGAGTTTCGGGCTGTGGGGGAAACGGACACGTGGATGTAGAAAGCTTGCATCTTTACGCAGTCTTGCCGGTTCGGATGAAAGCCTCTGCACATTTTTGCTTTCGTTTTTGCGGGCGGGATTTTGTTGTGTGAAAATGAGTTTCTTTTTCGTAATTAGGAAAAACTGATAAAGGAATGGTGTTTATGAAGGAGCAAAAGATGAAGGAGAAATCGGGGGTCGGAACTTTGGACGGGCGCCCGACGGTTTTGAATCAATCAAGCGGCGGGAAGCACCCGGTTTTGGGTGGATAGAGTTTGTATTTAAAGCACGTCCATCCCTCATCCTACTCATCGTACGACTCGATTGTTCGACACTTTGACCATAAACTTTTGAAAGCACGATTTTGACATTATACGTTTGAAATAAGCCTGTCTAGACTTGGACCGGACTAGATGGGGCAACTGCAAACCGATGACCCGCTATGAACAACGAAATCTCTAAAACTGTAATATAATCCGCTACAAATAGAGAGATACTCCCTCCGTATCAAATTAATTGACCCGTTTCTTTTTCACGCAGTTTAAGACAATTACTGTAGACTTTATTAAAAGTAAGAGGTTTTTGGTACTGTAGCGACACTGTAGCGGTACTGTAGCAGTACTGTAGCTACTTTTTGAGTGGGATTCTTTCCAAAAAAGGAAATGGGTCAATTAAATTGATACACCAAAAAAGGAAAGTGGGTCAATTAATTTGATACGGAGGGAGTAGTGATTAGTGACCAGCTACAAAAATTATTGGAACCTTTCGCAATTAAAAGATCTTATTGGTTGACATTGGAAATAAAAGAAATATTCCCAATAGATAAATGATATTTGTTCTAGATATTATTAAAAATAGGATAAATGACAAAAACATGATCTCTTTTTAAAATTTCTAAAGAATGTGATCAACAACACAAATAAACCCTGCAGTTTAAAGTGATGTTGGCCACCATAGCTCTACACCCACAGTGGCTCCGCCCCGCCTGTGAGAGACCATCAGAGTGACTCCATCGTTGCCCCGTCTAGTGACCGCTTCCGCTCCGACCAGTGAGTGTTGTCACCCCTCGTCAGTGACTGCCACCACCCCTCATTAGTGACTTTCGCAACCACCGTCAGTGACTGCCGCCGCCTCCAGCTAATGACTGCCATCACAAGCGCAACTGCACACCAGCAACAGTGCCACCCCCGGCCACGTCTGCCGACCACCATCGTTAATGACCCGTCACCCCATATAGTGACCAACCAGACACATCACCCTTGCACATCTCCTGCGGCCACCACCGTCCAGTCGCCATTTCCGCCATCTATCGGCTCCTCCCCACCCCCCGCGCGCGCGACCACCAACAACACTACGACTGCCCGCTGCCAAACCCAAGTCGTTAATGCCGCAGTTCACCAGCCCCCCAGCCCTCAACCATCACAACCTCCGACCACCGCTGCCCCGAAAAACCAACCACCTCCCTTGACCTACACCTAGATCTAGGCACCGGTTCTCTAGCCCCCCTCCCCTGCTACACGGCCTCGCCCCCTGCCACACCCCGGCCCACTCCCCCAACTCTAGTTGCGAACAGCCCAACCCCAACCCACCCCTTCCTAGCCCTACCTTCGACAGCGCAGCCCAATTCTTACCACCCGCCACCTCAGCCTAGTATAATTTTTATTTTCAAAACATATACCGATATTATATCGTAGTAATTCGGTACAGTACCATATCGAAAATTTCGGTACACCTAAGTTTTTGGTAAATCCAGTACTTTTCGATACGGTAAATGCGGTGTACCGAAATTTCGATATTTTCCCTAGCCTTACTTGTTATAGGATTTTCCTGTTATTCTTCCACTTTTCTCTACATTAAATGATATTGGTTCTTCTTCTTTCCTGTTTTTTTTAAAGAAGAAGACTTAATTATTATTAATAAAGAGAGTAACAAGAGACAAAGATATACAATAGTTCAAGGTTACATTGGGGTGAGACAAAGAATTGACTAGCCTCTGAGGACCTGTCAAATTCGATAACCTCGCATCACGGTAGCCTAATTTAACAGCATTGCTGAACTTGCTACCAAAATGGAAGATCACTAAACAAGAATTCTTTAAATAAAAATAACAAAATAATTCAAGCGCCCCCGTTTTACCAGCCACCGGGAAGGGGCAAGAGGTTTGTCGATCCACCTCCAAAGGAAGCATCCCGATTTTACTAGCCATCGGGAAGGGAGAAGAGGTTTGATCAGCTACCTCCAAAGGAATCATCTCGTTTACAGGACCTGTCTGTATTATAGGTGGTGCTGTTCTGGGAGCACCGCCGCCTTGTCGTTGTTTCGTCCCCTACAATCAAATTCTTTCATTGCCATCCTTTCATAAATCTGATTTAAGCTCTCCATTAGTGGCCAAACGAATGAGTGTCGACTCCAAGACGGAGAAAAAGAAGCACTAGAATTCACGAACAGAAGCATAAACTCGTTCACAATTGGAACAGACCAAACTCTCGCCAGAGAAAATTGAGCTGGATGAAATAAAAGTGAGTAGAAAATTAGTCGAAAAAAAAATCTCAAACGATGAAAAAACTTCAATTACCGTTGCACATGATTAGAGTCTTGCTGTGCTATTGATGCGTTGAGCAAGATCATGAAGATCCGCTGCTAGGGTTTGATCATCCGTATGCTTCAAACGAAAAGAGGGATATATGCATGTGTTTCTTTTTATTTCCTTATCACCTCATTTTTCTATTCCTTGAACGTTTAGTGAACTATATTTGTTCGTGCAAATGTGATAATATTTTCAGATTAAAGTAAGGTGTGGGACTATTCTAAAAAACCAATGACAAGTGGGATTATTAAATTCTATTTCTTTTATATTAAATTGCGCAAATATTGATGATGATAAATAATAAATGAAATAGCAAGTCTAACTTTAACATTCGTTCTGTCAAAAAAAACTTTAACATTCGTTATTAGACAAGTAATTGAACTACAATTTAATACTCCCTTTGTCCCATTTAAATCTTTACACTTTCCTTTTTAAGACGTCTCATTAACTCTTTTATATGTCCCATTACGTTAAATATCCTAACTCTCCTTCACTACTCTCCCACGTTTTATATTTGAGTGGATAACATTAATTTCCCGCAAAAGTCAAAGAGCATGCATGCAAGACATTTGTTCTTCTATTAGTTGAGCTCCTAAAATACTGTGCTAAAAGCAAACGTCAAGTTCTATCCGGGAGACCGGGACGGAGGGAGCATAAATTAAAGTTTTGTACCAATAAAATTTTACATGCCGAGAGACTTACAAAATTGGGCTACTTCAAATGAATTGAGCTAAGAAAAGCAATTATTTGAATCATCATATATGAGTATGCGCTTGAATCTAATAATTAGAGGCAATTTCTTAATTCAACTAAAAGTTGGACTATTAGTTACTCCCTCTGTCCCAGTTTGTAAGATACATTACAGTTTACAATGTTTGACTGACGATAAAGCAAATTGATCCCAGTCAATACTCAAATTAGTTCTAAAAAATAAAATTCACATATTCAGAAACTACATTAAAACTGCTACAAAGCCTGCAAAAAATTTTAAATTTCATAAAATTTTGATTTATAAAATAAAAGATTAAGAGTGATTTATGTTGACCAAGTGAATAGTAAATGTATCTTACAATTTGGGACTGAGGGAGTATATGACTTATATCCATATACTAAAATCAAACAGTATCCATCAAATTCAGTGCCGATATGATAAGTTCATATTTCAACACGCATTTGAAGCGTGTTGGGATCAGCTTTATCCTGAGTAAATCAGTGCACTGTCTGTGATGAAAAAACCTTGTCATGACTAATTTCTGAGGTTGTGTGACATTATTTTTCTCATGTCTTGCCTGTGATGAGTCTGTTCTGAGGCATAAGTTAAAATTGTGAGTTGTTCTGTTGATTCGGCGTGATATTACTTTACTCCCGCCATTGATGAATCAAAGTTGTTGATTACATAAACATGTTTAATGGTGTAGATGCTTATTAAGGTTGTGTTAAATGATGTCCCATCTGTGATGAATGGAACTGAATTATATGTGTAATTTGTGAACCTTGTGATGCATATTTAGCCTGAATTAAGCAGTGCACTATCTGTGATGAAAAAAGGGTGTGATGAATAATTTCTGAGATTCTGTGGGCTGAGTTTTCTAGGGTCTTGCTTGTGATGAATCTGTTTTGAGGCAAAAGTTCAAAGTTCAATATGGTAACATCATTCAATAATAAATATCAATCCAAATAAATCTTAAAAAACTTACCATTGTCTAAAATAAACAATTAAACATACATAAAATGTCATTTGACATACAGGCATACAAGATAAGGTTAAGGCAGATATATTAAGCAAGGCCTCCTCAAATATCTGCTTAGTCACACCAATTCTCTTAGGTAGTAGATCTTGCCTCTGTAATGCATCTTTTCCCAAATGCTGCAATTTGTAATTATTTCCTCCTCCACACTTAATCACTTGTTGCATAACAGTTTGATAGGATATAGAAAACACCTTTTCTAGGGTTGTGGCCGAAAGCTAGTTAAAAGATTCTTCCACATTCCCAACCAATTCTAGTAGTGAACTGCTAGGCTTTTGGTCTTTAACAGAATCAATGGCTCGAAAAAACCTAGGTCTAGTACATTTAAATCAGGGCTGTTAGGTAATTGGCAGTGCAAAGTGATATTCCAACCATCAGTAGTTGCTTCTCTATGAAAATCCGCATCGTCAATAAGCATATGTGGTTTTGCATTGTCTTGTTGAATGATGATGTTCCTATTAAGGTCATCTGGCCTTTTTTCTTTAATAGCAGGCAATAATCTAGATATATAGAAACATTTCCTTCATAACTTCCCGCGTTATACTTGTTATAGGTTTAACTTCTAATGATCCTCTCGGCCTGTTTATACTAGACCGAATAGCAACCCCTACATATGTGAAAGGCCAAATTCCTAGCTTTCCATCCCAAATCACTTCCCCCCTCTCACCAAACCTAGGCCTACTCACAGCAACAAGAAACATGATTTTTGGAATGAAATTCTTTGAATGAGAACTTCGGTATGGATATGGTTCATCATTAGCCAAGTAGTATTTTTCAGTTTCCTTAGTGGTGTTAAACCACTTTTTGTCTATGTGAATGTACTCGTATATGTGTTTAAAAGTAGGATTCAATGAAATAGAC